CTTCCCTGGTTTGAGTTGTGAGCCGCCCTGAGTCCCCTTCGGGGGGAAAGGGCAGCATATAAATAAAATAAACATTCAAACATTCAACATTCAAATACCATTGTATGGCATCTCTGAATTGTTATAAGCTTCCAAACTTGGCATGTCAGGCTCTAAATCCTATTTGTTCTCAACTGCTCAGACGATTATGGAATGCCAAATGTTATTAAATGTAATTATCAAGTGAGAAATAGGATTGGAATATTAACCTGAAATTCTGACCCTCAAAGACGAATCCAGTTCCTTGATGGGTAGGAACAGCCTATCGAAGTAAGTCTTTTTCTATCTTTGTCCTAGTTGCAAACAAGCAACAATTGTCTTTGGTTGTCCAACATTTGGATTTTTCCAGACTTGCATATCAACCATAAATGGATATTCCAGAAGTGTTGGGTGAAATTTAAAGCTTATGATGACTCTGTGGTGGAAGCTGAAAGAAAGCACCAACAATGGCAAAAAACATCCTTATAATAGAAAGAAAGATAGTACACCAAGATCATTGTCTATCCTTCTCCCTATGCTGTTTTTATTGAGACCCAAAGACCATTTTTTTGGATCCTCTGCATTTCTCCTCCAACAAAAAGGAACAGATAGATGAACCCTAGATGATGCTCCATAGTTTTCTTCAGAGTGATGCCTCCAGATATATTAGACAAAAGAGGTTAATTAAATCATTGAAGACACAGGGCAGTTGGGAATGAGAGAATTTGTAATCCAACCATATCAGGATATCATTGGCTTGAAGAAAGCCTGGAATCTTTCAACTTTTAATTCAGCATTGGTATTTGCATCAGAATACAGGTGTGCTTTAAGTAATATGCAAATCCTTAAAATACATTAATACATTTTTTTTTCACCAGGACCACCTGGATCTTCAGGCCCCAAGGGAGCACCAGGGCCAATGGGAGCACCTGGAGTACAGGTAAGCAAACCATTTTCACCCACTTGTTGAACCTTTTCAGGTCAAACTAAAGCAATTTTTTTTTTACTAAGCTTAAAAAAAATATACTATTCATATTTGTTTTCTTTTTTTTTTTAAAGAGGCAAGGTCATAATAGCTTGATCTCTATGATTCTGCCTTTCTGTACCAGGCACATGATAGTTTAATGTTTTAAATTATGTACAACTTCGGAGTCATTAATTTCTGGTACAACCCACCACCCTCCAGACCTTCCGCACAGCCCTTAAAATCTGGCTATCCCGTCAGGCCTGGGGTTAAAGACTGTAACCCACC